CATGAGAAAAAGTATTTGCTCCTCTAATAGGGAATAGAAAGGGTTACAAGTAGCACTGAAACGTTCGTGTTTGCATAGAGAAGGAACGTCCTTCTTGGAGTTTAGCCATAGTGCAAGGAAAGTCTTTAGCATTCGCGTTACAAAGGACTGCTCATATGTCAGACACATTGCGCTTTCAAGAACATTAACATCACTTTCTTCCTTAGGGTTAAAAAAGCACATGAAGGTAACGCCCCAGTGGAGATTATCTCGATAGAACAGGCCTGAGCCACGCATCGCGCATGTACCTAGTCCTGCCATAAATACTGTTACAAGGTTTTTTTGTAATAACTCTTTTCATATAAAGCATACGCTGTATTTGCTAACAGCCTTTATTTCTCTGCATAATTACTAACATATTACAGAAACATTATTGTTTAACATCATCCATCGCAGTACGCACCAATTCCATTGGATATTGGCTGCTGATTTCTGAAGGGCTCGCTTGAGACTTTCAATATTTGAATGTCTTCTGTGGTTGGCCATCAGCTCCAACTCTTCCCACAGTTTGTTGTCCAGTGGGTTCCCAGATGACCAATCGGAGGCCTTGATGAACTCGGGGACATTGCTGGCTAGCCACTCTTCGTCCTAACCTTGTTAGCAGGTTCGGAGTCTTGCTGGAAGATCCAGTTGTCGCCATTGAACATTATTTAGCTGAGAGGCTTCACTGACTTCTCTAAGACTTATTCCTGGTACACGTTGGCTGATGTCTTCGCTTCTCGCTTGCAAAATGCAGCTTGGTGACACCCTCATAACTCAACCCCCACCAAACCATGACACAAGCAGTATGGTTACCTCTCTTCACCTTATGGATGACTTCTGCAGCTTCCCAAGAGTTGTGGGCATACACTTGGCCATTTGGCCAGCTGAATTTTTCTTCAACAGTGAAGATTTTCTCATCAGTAAAGAGGATTTTCTGGTGTCTGTTATGCGCGTTCCTCTGCAGCAACACTTTCGATCGCGACCTCCTGATTTCTTTCAGAGATGGAGTCAGCATGTGTCGGGTGCTTCTTCAGTAAGCACCCAACCTTAGGTCTGATTTAATCAACCGATACGTGCTTCTAGTCGAGATGGCCATTTCCCTGGTCATTACTTTCTCCTTGCCAAAAGGATTTCGCTGAATCCTGTTGCTAACTTCTTTGATGACTCTGGGTGTTCTGACAGTGGGTGGACGTCCAGATCTGGGGCGGTCTCGTACTCTCTGAGTATCATTGTAACGTTTGATAGCTCGGTAAACAAACTGCCAACTGATTCCAAGTGGCTGTAAAGTCTTGAAATGATTGCAGGTTTCTGACACACTTTATTCAGGGCAATCACTGCTATGAGATTCTCTTTGTCACCCCACTCCATGTTTACTGCACGCAACCCAACAGCCAACATGTCACCAAACAATACGGCAGATAATACACTGCACTATTACTAGGTTACAGGTTTCTAGGTTCTTTCGCTAGAATGCAAGGAACATGTAAATCTTGTAACAGTATTTATGGCAGAACTAGGTAGGTCGGATGCGAATCAATAAAAGTACACCCGTTCCACTGGGAACGAAATTGTCATCTACAACAGTCTGGAACCTTTTTTATGAATCGTAAAAAAAATCGGTGGTTAATTATCAAAAACAAAGAATTTCTGTAATTTTCAGAGGAAATCACCGAAAATTATGTTAAAGTGTAATTACTGACTGTATCTCTTCATTCCATAAGTAAATGGAGTGATTTATATATAGGATGTATGATTAGTAACTCCTTATTTTAAAATGATTGTAACTATTTTATTTTTTAACGAAATTTAATGAAGCAAACTGTGAATTATGTACCACCTAGTGAGGTTTTTATTCATCCAATATTCATACTTCCACGTATGCTCCTGCATTGTCGACACATTTCATTAACCGAACAGGTACGTTTCCAACGGTTAATAGTAACATGTGTCGAGGTACGTTATGAAGAGCTATTGATTCTCTCTTCAAATTCATTAAGATTTCATTCAGTTCGCTAAGAACGAGTACCTGCACAAACTGATTCACCAGAGTTCTTGTCATTGCTTTCAATTTGGCAATGTTTTCATGTGTTCGTGAGGTTGATGATCGTCATGATTTGGTTTTATCTGTTACTGAACCGGTTGTCATTAACTTCGGATGACATTCACTTATTGCCTTAGCATCCAGTGTTGCATCAGGACCATATGCAACCCTCTGCCATCAATGAAGTTTAATTATTGCTCCCCAAACCTCGTAACAGGCAGTTATTTTGGCTCTTTGTTAAACTGTTATTCTGTTTTCCATTCTTTAACCTAAAACAAAAACGAAATTAAAAAACCTCACTAATTGGTGAATATTTCTCATTTCATTTAAATTTCGTTAAAAATTAAAGAGCTGCAAGCATTTCAAAATAGGGAGTTACGTATAATACATCCTGTAGAACATCATTATTACAGCAAAGGACAATGTCCGTGGAGTATCTGGACTCATTCGTTTCTAAACAGCTATATGATTAGAGATTGCCCATCACTAATAAGGCATTTAGGACTGAAGAATGATCTGAGTTGCGATTTGCTTAATGAGATAATCTGGCTGACATGAATTGTTTCTATTGACCTATCAAAGATTCTATCTGATGTTCAAGTCAGTGAATGAATTTATGTATCCAGGGCAAATTTAAAGTACTAGGATTATTAGCGAATCTTTCGGATTTCAATGGAAATCACATGTGCAACAGTGCATCTCAGTTGCAAGACACACAGCAGCACACATATTCATATATACACATGCTTAATTCTTAATTTTAATATCACGTATGCAATCTTTCATTATTCGTCCTTGCACCAGGTAATGAAAATACTTACTCAATGGCTTCCTGTTGCAGTTGTCCATCTGCACCTGTCAAGAAAAAATGTTAATGTCTTTAGCATGACAAGTCAGAGTTTAATGGGAAGGGCGGGCATGGTGTTCATAAAATGAAGTCGAACCTGGGCTTTTTGCAATTGAATTTTTGTGCAAGCATGCATTTTGCGCCGAATGATGATGGGCCAAAAAGTACAAATAGGAACATGTTATTTATGGGCAAGTTATACAGCCACAAACAATGGTTTTGTACCAAATATTGCTATACTTTCTCCTTACCTGATGAATGCAACATTTAATGCTTTTAAAGAGCAAGCTTGATTATTAACTGGAAGCAAAGAGATTCGTAAGTATCCGAAGATAAGGCACAATCTTCCATTTGTAAATGTCAGGTGTAATTTTTTCTTTGCTCCAGTGAGAGTCCCATGGTGAAGTCAATGAACCTGGAGGAAGACGTCTTCATCTTGTGGTATGCAGTCCTTTATTATCTTTGTATTTCAAACAGGAGTATGAGCATCCGTCATACAAGAAACCTTCAAACATGGCTTCCTGGAAAGGATGTTGTGCCCTCAATCAATAATAAAAGTGCGGGTTGTGCAAAGAAACAGGCTCTTTTATGGTTTGGTTGACCCATCCTAGAAAGGTCAGACAACTCGCATCGACAGTAACATAACATTTTTATGGGAGACTTTCTCCTCATGTTCTCACAGTGCTTTGAGAGGCCATCATCATTGAAAGGGAAATGATTCAATATCAAAATGTTCCTCCCCTTCCTGCAGATGAGCCACACCTGCAGGAAATGGATGTGGGGACTTCTTTATTCCTCATTTTGTCTGCGGCAAACATTGATATAGTTCATGGAACCCTGATCCTTGCTAAGATGACAAGCAAAATCACTTGATTGAGGAAACTTTGATACCGTCTCAGATAATGCCATTATGCATTGCTTGCGACATGATTCGGGACGTCTAGTCTTTTTTTTTTACTCCACATGCTCTCTTGTAGGGGAATGTGATATGAAAATTGATATACTCAGCTCATCATACCTTTCAAGAACTCCACAACATCCTGCCTCCCAATATCACTGAGCGCTTTGGGAAAGACTGGAACATATATTTGCGGATTCTGGCGAAATAGGTTGACGCAGATCTCATCAAATCGCCTCTGAGTATCATGTATTTTTTGGAATCGCGTCTCATCCTGGGACGTGATGGCGCCTCTGCCAACCAAACTTCGAACCAGCTCATCGAAGTTCACAGCAAAATCATCCCTTAGCTTCACTCGATTTGCTTTAATCCTGTCCCACGTTTGGAGTTCGTCGCTTATCTGTAGGAAAAAAAAAGGTGCGAGATGAGGACCATTATCATTAAAGTTGCTGAAGTAATTTCCGTAAGTCGTGCACAATGCCTCAAGAAGATCTATGCTGTGCAAGATGAAGAAATTATAATTCCCTCAAAATGGTAATCATTGCATCGCTTGCCTTTCTGCTATTGAAACTTTATTTCATTATTTCGAATTTTTTTTACATTATTGCTTTATTTTCTAAAGAGAAATTTTTACAAAGATTCTCCTTAACCCATTGCATTGGAATTATTACACCCTTTTTCGTACCATATTTTAGCTTTTGTTTTTTTTGTTGCAAAAATTCATAAATTTACAATATGCAATGTTTTAGGAATTAAGCTTGAGTTCAATGGCTTATACGTGGCAAGGAATTATAAGCCTGAGGCACTTCCAGTTGCAAAACATCTTTTTGAATGTATTATGAGAACACAAATATCTTTGATGGTGACTGACAAAATTTAATCAGATTTGTTGATTAAAAGCAGTTTCTATTAATTTTATTCAACGTGCTATTAGAGGGTCTGCTGAATGTGAATGTGAATTAGAGGGTCAGCAAAAGTGAATGAATGCTGCGATAAATTTTCTAGCGTCTAATGAGTCGATCTCCTTGGAGATCTTTTACATTCGTATCAGTAGGACTATATTCTCTTGTTGTTCAAAGTTCTACTGGGAGATTGATTGCTTAAAAGCTAGTAAATTCACCACAGTTCTCATGTCACTTTTTAAACGCCATCAGCAGACACTTTGGTAAAAAATTGAAAAAATAAGCTATCTGCATTTGACAAGAATAATGCAATTTTGCCTTTCGCCATTAAAGACATGTTTCCTCATGATAAAATGAAAATATGTGTATCGCAACAGGAAATGTCTCAGACTTGGAACTTTTTGACCACCATACGTACACGAGCGCATAATTGAGAATTTTTTATTTGTGAATTATAGATAAGAGACGGACTCAGGATAGTCTGGTAGCGATGCAACGAGACCGTATCATAGATCAATGGCAATGAGTTAGCGAGGTGATAATGGGTTAATAGGATAGGCTTAACTATTAATGAAAGATATGAGATTAGAATAGCTAGAAATATTTTTAAAAAGCAACATTGGTACATGAAATCAATGTTGTTTCCAAGTATGAACATTGCATGAGAATATCATTAGGAATGAAAAGGCTCTGATGATGTCAGCAAGTGAATGGTGCTTCCGAAGATTCGCAACAATTTTGTGTTCATCCGCGGAAATAGCACAGCTTTTCCCTGAGTCCATTTACCCACCTTTGCTGTTGCCTACTTGCGCTAATAACAATTTGCATCTAATACGCATGGTATGGCAACAAAATAACTCACGTCTTTCAACCTAAACTAGCCGACCCGTGGAAGACTTCCACGAACTTCAGATCGACCTAAGCCAGGGGTGTCTAACTTTTTAGAAAAGGTTTTAGAAAAGCGTGTACATATTCAACCTGTTAGCAATTGAAACTTTAGTGTAAGATTTGCTCATGTGAACCCAACCGCTCCTGAAGGGTTTCATATGGCCACCATCTTAATCAAGTTTGACACCCCTGATCTATATCGACCTAAGCTAAGCGAAAAAGGGGTCAGGATCCCTTTAACCCTAATCCGGGCAAGGTGAGTCCGCTGGACTCACTACGACATATTTCGGTCTATTACTATCATTATTTTTTTAGTATAAAAATGAGCTATCGTGACTTTGTCACCTTGTTCGTGCTCTTCAAAAATACAAAGAAATTTATAAATAAATACATACCGTAACCGCAGCAAACGGCCTTATTTTACATGTGAGTCTGACAGACTCACCTTGCCCGGAATGGGTTGTAAAAAAGCTTGCCCGGATGAGGGTTAAAAATGGAGGCGTAGGTCTCATCCAGGCGAGGAAGACTTCCTTCCTCCTGCGGGATGGAAGGGGACTCCAAGTGTTATAAAGGAGGACGCTTGTAATGTGGCGATGAGATACAGAAGTCAAATCAACTTCATCAAATAGGATCATCAAATCTGATTCACGGAGATGATGGGATGAAGTAGATACGACGGAGCGGCGAAGGAGAAAGGAAGACCTTGGACGCCAGCGAAGGGCGGATGGGATGACCAATTCGTTTCGACGGGAAAAAGGGGAAGGACAACTTTATGACAAGGGGAATGTACCATCACAGGGAAGTTTGGTCGTTGCCTTTCTCACTCTACTTCTTTGGAAACACTAGAAGCATACCGAGGGAGGCAGAGAGGTGCTTTGGTGAAGCCACCTTACAAAGCACCCAAGATGTAAAAGTGCTGCAAGAATTCGGAATGTTTGCCTTTTCTGTATGCATAAGGTTTGTTACAAAATGGAAGTGATTGTACCCCTACATGTTCAAATGTGACCCTTGTACATAGTATTGGTGTACGTCATGAGAGCACGTGTCCACTTGAACCAGTATTAGGCTAATTGCCTCTTAATGAAGGAAAATTGCTAAGTTTTAGTCGAGATCCTGTTCTGACATCCATGTTAACCGACATGTGCTGGAATCAAGATTAAACTTTAACACCGCAAGTTGTTTATGGAATTACCCCTTTTCGAACCCATTTCTTTGACATGTACACGAACTATAGACTGTATCATGAAATTAATGGGAATTACTTTGTCCCCAATTGTCTACCCAATAGAGGCTTCTCCTGAAACCTAGATGACTAATGAGGAGGGTGGTCAGTTTAAGAAACTTCTCCTCCGAAAATCCACAACGGAGGAAAGCTTCAAAGAGCCAGTTTCGAGCTGATCGGGGTCTCGGCCCTACCTTTTGATAGTTGTTCCCTCCCTCAAAATTATTCTTTTCTTTTTCATCTCCTCCCCTACCGAAGATTTGAAGTGTCCCTTTTGTCCCGAAGCTTCACATTAAATTCGATTCAGTGACGAGTATCTGAGGACAGGATACGTGAGTTTCTTTCGACCCTGAGAAGCATTACCGAGCCAGGTGCTAGGGACATAGATTGGGTAAGGGATTAAGCCTGGGGTAAATCTTTATCTAAATCCTTAAAGACCGAAATTCATTACATTTGTCATATATGTGAGACGGACCGGTTCTTTTTTTGCGGATTAGGGTTCCTAATACATTTTGTTCCTTTTATTTCGACACTGTCCTCCAAGGGTCAATATTACATTCTTTTGTGTCCTTTTTGTTCAGTGAAATTGGTTCAATTCTTATAATAAATCAATTAATCAGACGCAGTGTGGTGATACTCCCTTCTCGAACTTGAGGAGGCACGAATATCGCTCACCAAAAGTAGTTCGTGGAGTTTTGTCCGGTGCGGGACATTGAGAGAGCTTAAAGGTTTTTTTTTCGAAGAAAATGAATTGCCTAAAATCACATTGAAAATTAGAGAAAGTTTATTTGTATCTATTTGAGTGATTGATATTATCCGACCCACTGTGTCCCGTGCACGTGACACGTTTTACACATCCCCGCGAGAATGTCAGCATCTCAGTGTGAACACCTCATAAGTGGGTGGGAGGGGGGTGCAAAACACATACAAATCCATCTCTTTCCCGTTGTCGTTGGTGAATCCGACAGCCACAACGGCTGGGAAGAAAGTGCGAGCTTGACAGAGGGAGACAGACGCACGAGCCAGGCTGAAGAAGGCGCTACGCATGCGCGCATGGCTTGTGCTGACATACAGACGCCCAAGCATAATATCTGTAGGGTGATTCAAAATAAACATTCTACCGTTTTCTATGGGAGAAACATCGCTTCATAAAGGCAAATATATATATATACTAGGTTGTCCCAAAAATTCTGGGGCAGCTGCGGAAAAATCAATTTTTATGCGCGAATTCAAACAAAAATCAACAAAAACTATTCTTCAAAATAAAGGCCGTCGTTCTCAACGATCTTCTGCCATCGATCTGCAAGCATCCGGATCTGCTTGAAGTACCATTCTTTGGGCTTCGAGTAAAAAAATTCCTGACACGCTTCCTCCACTTGATCAAAAGGTTCAAATCGCCGTCCTCGCAGAAAGTGTTCCATAGATCGAAACAGGCCGAAGTCGGATGGAGCAGTATCAGGACTGTAGGCGGGATGCGGCAGAACTTCAACTCCTTCCAACTCCTCGAAATTCTCCTGCGTCATTCTTGCGCGGTGAGCCGGGGCGTTGTCCTGCTGAAACAAAGGTCGCTTGCGTCGAATCAAGACCGGGCATTTCTCCTTCAGCACGTTGTAGACTCAGTCCAGTTGCTCGGTGTACAGCCGGGCGTTCACGGCTCGACCATTCGGAACCAGCTCAAAGTGGACCACGCCCTCAAAGTTCCACCAAACCGAAAGCATCACCTTTTTGCCAAAACGATCCGGTCGAACTGTTGGCTGCGCTTCTTGACCTCGTGGGACCCACTGCTTTTGCTTGTTGTGATTGACCAAATAGACCCACTTCTCGTCAGACGTCACAATACGCTTCCAAAATCGGTCGTCCAATGGGTTCTCGAGCAACTGACGACAAATCTCGACTCGCTTCCGGGCCTGTGCTTCTGTCAGCTCATGAGGATCCTGTCGGGGCTTTTTGTGCACAAAGTCGTGCACAAAGTTAGTATTGCGACCCTGTCAATGAATAGATTTCCCGCAGAGCATTGCCTACAGTTACACTTTCTACCCTATGCCCACAACTGGCTATAACCCCATAGCACCGAAACAATGTCATCCGTAGTCGTGTAAAGCCGGGAACTTCTGAATCACCGGGTGATTTACATAGTGCGTAGCTGGGTTCCCGAATATTTTGTCAGTTTATCATTCGAGACGTTGTTGGTTCCACAGGGACGGGATAGGAATGCATAGAGGTGCAAATAAGAGAAACAACCTGGAAAGAATTGTCATAACAAGGGTGAAAGAAATAATGATTTTATACTGGAAGTATCAATAAATATATTGAGGCATAATGGCTTTACGAGATGTGTTGCGTGGCGAGGATTGTTTTTAGCCGAGGGTTCGGCACGGCAAGCTCAGAAAGAAACCCCCATAAAAAAAGGTTTTACTAATTACCGATCCCGATAGGCCGTTCACAATTCACAGACACAATACACCCCACAAGGAAAAGAGTAGAGTACACCAAAGGGATAAAAACCTATGGTTAGATTCCTATACAAGTAGTGTCCCCCGCTTCCTCTGCTCAGACTCAGCCCACCCAGCACTGCACCCGCTGCCTTCCAGGACCCTTCTCCCTCCCTCCTCCTTCTCCTCCTCAGTTGTTGGGTCTTCGCTTGAAGATGTTTTGCTTCGCAGGAATGAGGAATCCCCGTATATCCCATTCCGCATGGAGTTCATCAAGCAGACTTTGACCCCATGGAATGTTCCAGGATCTTGGGTCCTATTGCAGGGGTGCAGCGTTGAGATGGCCCCGTTCCATTAACGAGGCTGCTCCTTACATCACAGATGCATTGATACATTTCCCCGAAGAGGTCGCTCAAGCATCTCAAATTCGTGGAGTAGCTTGAAAAGGGGCCTTGGAAGGTCTCTATTTACGGTTCGCATGGGATATTCATGTATTTCCCGTTCATCTAGTTTTGTCTAATTCCTTAGCATTTTCCCATCGACGCAATAGTAAAGGACTGTGATCCCCCTACACACGTTTTCCACCAACGCATAAGCGACGGTAGCCAAATACAAAAGGATTCTAGGTTTCATTCGTCGTTCGATTGCAAGTAGGACTTGCAACCTTATTCTTCCGTTGTATGCGGCGCTGATAAGACCCCGGTTGGAATATTGCATCCAGTTTTGGAGGCCTACAAATAAGGGCGATTCGTTGGCGCTCGAGGGCGTACAGAGGAGGGTCACAAGAATCATTAAGGAGGTCAGGGAGCTATCATGCGAGAAACGTTTAGAAGTGTTGGGACTGTACTCGATCGAACGAAGGTTAAGGAGGGGCGATCTCCTCCAGGCTTTCGAGATAATTAAAGGAATAGATAATGTCGAGTGTGGTTGAAGGATCCTGCATATAAACTGTACGGAGCCCTTCTACGTGTTGGTTGACCCAAAAAACTCTGTGTTGGCCTCCCTCCACGTGTTGATGGATGTTTTAGTTCACCTCCTTCCGCCTCCTCCCCTCCTGGACTCTATTGATACGCTGGACTTGCGGTCATAGGTCGGCATACGTTACAGAAGTGTGCATACAGAAACAGCATTAGCCCAAGCGCCGGTAAGTGGATTAGGCATAGCCACCCTAAATCGAAATGTAAGAAAATCTTCTCACCCGGTTCCCTCCCAGAAGAGTACGTATAAAGAAACAATTCGCAACCACAAGCCTACTGGTACGTTTCAACTCGTGTCCTTCCTTTCAAAAGATATACAGTAGGCCAAACGGCCTCACGCCTCAGGCTAAGGCAATAGGATTTTCGGTGGGTTAGGCTGAATAGTTCCCGAATGCGAATGGATCGGCCAAGATTGATGTAAGCCTGAGCGTCTGTTAAAAGGCCATATATAGGCCAGCTAAATCAGTCCCCTCAAGACACGTACCTCAATGTCGAACTTAATATGTACTATGCAATAAAACAGCTGTTTGTTTTCCCTCCCACTTCCTTGTAGGAAGGAAATGTATGAGAGTCATGTTATCCTAAGCGTCCATCCGTGGGTTGGGCCTGGACCATCGAAATCAGTCCCCCTCCTCCCCAAAATATGCCCCCAGGAATGTATCACCAATGTTGGACATTCGTAGTAAGACTTTTTCTGGAGTCAGCAACCTAGCAGTTATTCACCTACCCTCCGTTTAATTGAAGGAAGTGTATACATGAGAATGGCATTGGCCTAAGCGTCCGTCCCTGGGGTACAAAATCAGACTCCCCGAAATGTTCCTGCAAAGCCCGCACCCCCGAAGTTGCAATTTCTCTGGAGTCAGAAATGTAACAGCTATTTGTGTTGCAAGTTTCAGCTTCTCTTTATTTCTATAACATGGCTATTATTATTAAACCTTAAACTTGTGGGAAATGAAAGCTCGGTTCTTGGTCTATCATTGGATTTACTACATCCGATGGTTCTTTATTTTAACTTTCAGTATACCCAACAATATAACTATCATCCCCAATAATAGGATTTGTTGGTGCCGTTATGTTTGTTTATACTTCATTGTGGAATCATGACCGACCCAGGCCCTGCTCGACCGAAGCTCATGAATAATGCACGCAGTGGGCGGGGCTTCCCAATGATGTCACAACGGTGTGTATAAAAGGAAACTTCGCAGCCATCCTCCCTCACTCTGACTCCAACTGTCAAGGAAGGATGTCGGTAGCTTGTGCTTCCATACCTTCAGCGGATAGTTTGCCTGCACCATATGGAAATACTGAATCTTGGATTCTCCTATTGATAATTTTCCCATACCCTCCGATACCCTCTCTTTCTGATCTCCTACACCCTTTTTGCTTGGTTTCCGCTTTACTATGAACAGAAGCAGTGGGAAAACGTGCATCCTTCCATCTTGTAGCTCAACGTATCAGAACAGTAGAGCTAATAATCTTTCATTTCATGTCTTTCCCACGGAAGAGGAAGCAAAATCAAAATGGCTGAAAGCCTTGGGTTTATCTGCTGTACCTAAAACAGCATACGTCTGTTCACTTCATTTTGCAGACGACTGCTATCGTGGAAGATTTCTGGATCAGAAAATGTACCTGGTAAGAGATTATGTACCCATTTTCAAAGGAGGACATGAGCACACATATTCTTTAGAGTCAGTGAACCGTTCCGGTCAGACCATTCCATGTCTCCCATTAAACGCCAAGGATAATAGTTGCACAAACATTGAAACTACAGTTCCAGCTTCTCAGCCCACTGCAAGTCCACATACTTCTGATAGGAAAATCAGTCCTGGAATCGATCAGTCAACTACAGCACTTGCTAGTGACTTTGTCAGAAGTTTCTTAGAAGACAGTAAGGGAAATACAAACTTCCGAGAAACTGAACATGAAAAGCAATGCTGTGAAGAAGTCCGGGTTCTTCGGAAGAAGCTCGAAAATGCTAGGGCGAAGTTACGGCAAAAGACACATCTGTACAATCATATGCTGAAGAGTAAAAACAAGATGATTCGGGAACTGAAACAGAAGTGCAGCAAAATGATGGATCCATCTGCTTTGAGGAAAATCTTCACTGAAACCCAGCTGAATGTCATCAAGGCTGGGAAATCACGCCCTGGAAAATGGT